TTTCTTACCTTTTTGTAATCTGAAGAACCTTATTTCGCCACAAAGAACCTTTTGTCAAACAGAAAGGTTCTTCAGATGTTAAAGGTTCTTTATGGAACCATTTAGACAAAAAGGTTCTTCTATGGCATCGTGAAGCACCTTTATTTTTAAGAGTGTAGGAGAATCTCGTACTATGTGCTAATAGTCCTTAACATCCTATTTCAGTGGCAATAGTAATTAAATGCTACTAGTATGAATGCATAATGTAGTACAAAATTGCAGTGTGGATGTAGAGCAGGAGGCGGAGCCAAATCACGCATATTATATAACACCGCAGGGGTTGGAGGTGTGGGAGATTCTCAGGCCTGATCGTGGCAATTACCCAGCTCTTCCGAGTCCCGCTATTTCTTCACACCTTCTCATTATTAGACCCGCTTTTCCACACACAAGCTCTCACGCAGTCTCCTAATGAATGTACACCACCACTTTCCATCGTCGCTTACTTTTTAACTTATGCAGCTTTCCTTTCTTTTACATACATTAACCTCTGAAAAAAACTTCAGATGCGCTCGTTTCTACGTGCATTGTGTCCCAGTGGCAGTCCCGTCGAGGCATATGGCTGTCATCCAGCTTACAGCTGGAGTCCTTGAAGACTGGCACTGCAGCACAGGCCTCGTGGATGGCAGCCCACTATTTCAAAGAGGCTCCAAAAAGGGCTCATTTTTTACTGAAAGACTATGCAAGCCATCTCAATAACCAAAGCCAGGCTGCTTTTTTTATGAAGTATGTAATCGTGCCTGCATGTTACATTATTTCTCAGATAACTTTCTCTTCCTTGACTTATTAAATCTGGAAGGTTTTTTGTCCCATCCCCTAGAGACGAAAAACTCAATATGAGAAACTGAACAAGTGAACGTTTCTTTTCATATCTAAATTTTGTATTCTTTGCTTGTTTTTTTAAGGAGAGCGATTCTTTCATCTTTGTAAGGAAACAAAGGGTGGCTTGGGACAAAGTATTATCGAAGGCTGCAGTTCGGGTTTTAGGAGAAATGGGTCATTGAAGCGTTTTGAAGGTCATGAGGGCTTTACTGATGAGCCTGATCTCACCGTCCTCCAGCCGGTTGCTTAGAAGGCACAGATGGAGAGGCGCTGAGAGAGAAGATCTGGAGGAAAAGCCCGTATTCAAGGCCTATGAAATTAGGCACCAATCCACTGTTTACACAGTTACGTGCCAGTTCAAGACGTATTTTAAGCTCTCGTTCTCAGCAGAGAAATCAATAGCCGGAAACGTTCTCTTAGAGGAGCTTCTACTGTAGGACACTTAGATTGGCACAGGAACACAGCGGTCGGGAAGGTAACCTGCTTATACTCCCCACTTCTGTTTTTATTTTCATTGGCTTAGCCGAGCAGTTGCATGTGTGGGTTTAAAAGAGATGTGTGTGTGTGGCACCGCTTGATTTCTGTCATGAAAAACATGCTTTGGAGTAATAATCATGGTCTTTTGATGCACGCTGTGCTTCATGTGTGTTTGATATGCGCTTCTCCCTGGCTGCCATCTTCAGATGTGAGGCGGGATTATAGGTGAGCGCCAGGAAGAGGTTAGAGAAGGGTTGCGTTCAAATCTTTCCCCCCAGCCTCTTGCAGTTCACTAAAGCCCTGAGACTGTCTGAGGGTCTCACTCTTGCTAAGTATTATTTAAGGCACAGGCTAAGTCTTTAGCTCTGTTTGCTAGTGGTAAACCTAATGAGCTGCCTTCTGTCTACATAGTCAACTTCTAAGAGAACATTTTAACAGCCATGGAATCTTGTTAGTAACCAGTTTAGAACTTTCTACATAGTGTGTGCACCATAGCAATAGCGCAACACAACAATTTCAGTAGTTTGATGTTAGCATGCTAAATTTACAGCCAATTATTGATTTTTATTAGTTGATTTTATTTATACTGAACTATTTTTATTGATATTTTTCAGTACTGACTGAAAATTAAGTTTATTATCAACATTTTATTATCAACAACGCCATGGGGAATTTATTTTATTTTTACTTAGCTTGTTGAAATGGATTCTAGGTTTGACTTATTTAGAATTTGACTGATACTAGATATCTTACTACCCTTACTCTATTACTCTTCATTAATAATAAAAATCATATATCAATAGTAATTAAAATCAGTCAATAGTAATTAAAAATAAATTTTTTGGTCAAATTATGCAGCCCTACAAACAACCCTTACGAAAATTAACCATAGTTTTATTTTCGTAAGGGAAGCTTAGCAAACCTGGCACTGTTTTGTTTGTTTGTTTTTTAATTGCATTTTAAATCACAATTTTTTTTATTAGAAAACTAATAATTATTATTCAAAATCATATTGCTCTAACTAGCATGCTTGGAAATGCTGCCTCTTTAAGCAGCTCAGTGTGTTTTGGAGTACAGCAAATCTCTTCTCCCTTCAAGAAGCTCAAAATGACGTCATTTTTTTCTCATTATTTTGTCCTTTATTTGTTCGTATCATGTTGGAAAAGCAAGTTATTTTTTACAGAGAGGAATGTATTTGATTTATCTGAAGCTGGTATGATAGCTGCTTGTGTGCAGTATTAAATGTATCTGAGTGTCTGTAATATTATTTGGAAACGATAGCATCTAATCCAGGGATAAATTTCTGCGGTGACAGCACTGTGTGTATGACGGGTAAGGGGCACACACACGCACACACACATGCACACACACATTCCTAAAACAAACATTGAAGATGGAGGGGTCCCCATTTATATGTACATTCATGTCAAAAGACACACCAACAAACAAACAGTCAACATTTGCCATCACCCTGTCAATTTACCTATCACACAATACCGAGTGAGCTTGAAGGGCTGCCCTTTATTTTGACATGTCTTTAATCTTAGTGTGAAAGTGCAAACACATCGCGTTTACTCCTCTAGCATTTCTCAACCCTCAGCTGTGGAGCCCAAGCATACAAATGTGCAGCATGTTGTGCATTTGTTTATAAAACCAGCTCATCTAAAAAAAAAAATTATGTCAACATTTACTCATCCTCATGTCATGCCAAATCCGTATGACTTTCTGTAGAACACAAAAAAAATGTAGGCACAATGTTCACAGTTATTTTTCATACAATATAATCTATCAAACTCCATTGTGGGGAAAAGAGCAGCATGAACATTGTGCTTAACATCTCTTTTTGTTTTATACAGCAGAAAGAACATTATACAGGTTTGGAATGAAATTAGGGTTAATGCTTTTACGGAATCTCCCCTAGAAACCTCCTCCATCCTTTTTGTGCATTCATTTTTGACCTGTTTTAATAAAACTTCTTCCTGATTGGGCGAAATGAGGCCAATGAGGACAGTGAGCTGTGCTGGTTCACCACTGACCCACTTCTTTTTTCTCGTTCTCTACTTTCTCTTTCCCTCTGTGTTGGCATAAAAAACAGGGCTTGTGTTCAGTCCCACTGTCCCTCGGCCCTCTGTCTACTAACTGTAGCAGTTAATGAACTTACTGTGGAACTACTGTGCACCGCTGAGAGTCCCAGCTACTCTCTTTCATGTTCATATTTCATATCTGTGCTGTAGCCCAGTGCACTGAATTATCAACTAGAACTCTCCCTTTTCTGGGATGATGCTTTGTGTTTTACTTCTCTGTCTGTCTTTTTTTTTTTTTTGCCTTCTGTCTGTAGTTGAGAGAGGCTTGGTTAGTGATGCTTGAAATGAGATGCGAGTAGTTAGTGTTCTGATTGGATGCTCTAATGGGCTGCATGTTTACAGCTGCAAAGTCAGAGTGCATATCTGTTTAGCAAGCAGTTCGTATAACATTTTCTCAGACCACAAGTTGTTGTGGTTTGAGAAAAAATGTTGCGTTTTGTGTCCAAAACTTTAAAGAGAATCAACTATTTCTACTAAATCATAGGTCACATACCCACTGCAGTGGTTGTGGGTGTGAAAACCACTTTTAAATGCATTTAATGAATCCATTAAATTATTGTACCATATGTGAACGGAAAACTGGAGTCACTCCAGATCCTGAAATGTTTGATATAGAGGTCATAGCAACGGTTTGGTGTCTCACAGGTGTAAAAGAGGAATGATATTTCACATGCACACTGCAGTGGTTATGGGTACGAAAACCACATTTAAATGAGGGATTAAATCTATTAAAGGGGTCCTATTATGCATTTTCACTTTTTTAATTTTAGTCACTGTGTAGTGTGTATGTTTGGGCATTAAAAAGATCTAGAAAGTTGCAAATCTCAAAGTCCACTCCAAAGGGAGATATTTAGTATTTTAAAAATCCCTTTTCAAGTACTACAACGAACGGCTCGTTTGGACTACAGCGTTTGGTTTCCGGGCTTTGTGATATCACAAAGCGGCCCATTAGAATATCATTATTATCAAAATAATTCCCGCCTACAGAAATTCGAATGGTTGGGGGGTGGGGAGGGGCGAGGTTGTGGTTAGAACGCTTGGTTGCATCTAAGCTGTTCGCCAATCACAACGCACTGGGACAGCTAACCAATCACAACACATTTTGTTTTTCGGAAGGCGGACCTTCATCAAAGCCGGAACTAATCGAGCCGTTTGTGGCAGGCTGGGGAGAAAGGTATTTTAATAATGTAAATTATGTGAAAAATAATGTGTTTTTCGAACCACCAAGCATGAGAGCATGTTCAAGTACACCCCCAAAACAAAATCAAGACTTTGTAAAAGAGCATAATAGGACCCCTTTAAATTATTGTACTGTCTGTACTACAGATCCTGAAATGTTTGATATAGAGATAAGCATAGCAGCATTTTGGTGTCTCAAAGGTGTAAACGTGGAACATGGATGGTGACAATTTAAAAGTAGGATCCGGCTGTCACTCTTGTAATAGTCAAGAGAAACCTGATTAAGCACTGGGAAGGAGAATGACATCTGGATTTAGCTACCTTTATTCTTTCCCCTCCTCCTTGTCTTTCCCATCTTCATCTAAGTAGAATGATAACTCGTTTCTCTGCTTTTTGGGGCAGATCTTAACCTGGAGAGCCCCTGCCTGAAGAAGACCTGCGAGTTTGGAGCCGTGTGTGTGGTTAAGAACAGCGAGCCTGTGTGCGAGTGCTCAGACGTGTGTCCACAGGACCAAGACCCTGTTTGTGGCAGCGATGGGCACACTTACAGCAGCTCATGTCAAATGAAAGCCATGGGATGTGCCCTTCAGAAACAGATACAGATGCAGCACAAAGGACCATGTGGTGAGTCCACACACACACTCACACATTGATGCCACTCACTCCCTCACTGCTTTTCATCCTCGTCCACCCCCTGCACTTAAGCACTCCACCGATATTTCAAGAGAGGACTGTAATTTTCCTCCTCCACAACCTTTTTTTGAAACGATGCACTTAAGTTAGAATTAAAGAGGGCAGCATCCTTCACAGTAATTGTTTTCATGAGTCATGGGTTTTTTGTCTGGCTTTTGTAAGCATGCTCCAGATAAGTCTGCAGAGGCCTGCTCGCCCTCCAAACAAACGCATGTTTATGTGTGTTTTTTTACAAAAGGCTTGTAAATCATTTTCGATGGCTGTCTTTGTGCTTGGGAGGGGAATATTAAGGAGACTTTTTCTACTAAACTTGGAGCCCTTTGTAAAGCCTGTCCCTTTCACTTTCGGCTTAAGTTTAGAGAGAATGAGGTGGAGCTATTGTGTCGACAGAAGTGTCATGCGTTTGCAGTTTATACATGCGTGTGCATTGGCAATGCCTCCAGTGAAGAGTTTGAAATGGATGCCGGGGGTCATTTGGTAGCAGTAGAATTCATCTCAGATCGCTAGAAGCCACAGCTGCTCTTTATTTATCATGCTATATATGTTGCCAGATAGTAAATGACATATGAGAGTGATATCTCTCTCCTCACAGACTTCTGGAATATCAGCTTAACTACCCACAGAGATTTAACCCACAGAAACAGGTTTGGATGGGACCAAATAAGTCTGGTTTTCTTAGCTGGTCCAATTTTCTCTAGATGCTTACTCAACTGAACTGCAAAATTGTGAGACTGGTTTAGACCTGCTAGATCATGTTGGACAAGCAATTTAGAGATGATAGACCATCGTTGACCAGCTAAAAACAGCTGTGGTATTCCATAAACAAGCTTAACCATTTTGAACAGGATTGGCCTGGTTTTTCCAGCTGGAAATAATCATTGTAGTTTTAAAAATCCACCCATTACAGCATCACAGCAATGTTGATGGGTCCGGCCCCTCGCTGGAGCAGGTGTCAATGGAAAGGGGCAATAAAGAAAGCAGCTGCAAACAGCTAACCATACGGAAGGAAACGTTGTTCATTTAGTGCTGTGTACACAGCCACACTCTCCACCACAAGTGAATTCTATTATTATCACCGTTAATTATCCAGGCCCATTCAGACCAAAGCCTCTTCCTCACTAAGACCCCAGCTGTGTTTGTGTGCATTTGTTCATGAAAGCTTGTATGTGAGTCGCTGTCGGTAGCAATGCACCCACATGAGTGGGTGTATGATGTGCTTGTGGCCAAATTTCATTTAATTTTCTTCACTCCGCATAGAGGGGAGACTCATAAATGCCCTTATCTTTATAGCTCAGGTGCAGTCTGACAGAGATATGACTGACGTTGTTTATTAGTCTGATTTTTTCCCTCCCATTTGAGTGGCGGCTGACCTTGTAGTGCAGCTACAGGAAAGCTTGCCGTTGTAATGGAGTATTTGATATCTGCCCCTCTGAGAACCAATACATATATGTTTATATGCAAGGAAATTAAAGAACAGCCAACAGGTCAGCAGCAAATAAGCACTTTTTACTGGTGATTGAAATGTTACTGGCCACAGTTGGGGAATATAGGTTACCTGCAAGACACTGAGCTGGAAGTGGAAGAAAAATCATCAGGCTGTTGAAGGAGTGAGAGGGCAGTAAATAAAAACTAGGAGGAGATGGAGCAGACTAATAGAGCCGGTGCCCTTGCCCAAGCACCAATCGCCAGGGAATTTTCACCACTATTCACAGAAAGTGCTGTTCTGTACCTGACATTAACAATGTTCCTTCCTTTCTCTGGACAAAAGAGAGCAGTTTACCGATCAACTTTAGAGGAATAGTTCACCCAAAAATAAAACTTTTGTCATCAACAAATCTGTATGACTTTGCTTTTTTGAAGAAAATCCACTTTTTCGTTATAATGAAAGTGAATTCTGAACATTTGAATCATTATTCACTGATAAAAATTCTGAAAACATCCATTCTAGCTTTCCTACACTGAAGAAAAATTTGATGTAAAACAATTTCCACTCAATTCACACAATTAATGACAAAAGGCAAGTAACACATTGAATTAAAGTTGGAATTTTGAAGTAGAAAGACTTTTTTTTTTTACAGAAATAGTGATGACAAAAAAATTAAAAATTTACAATGAATTGATCCAAACCGAACGATTCGTTTGCATATCAGGCTGATTCAGTTCTCAATGACTCAGCTTAACAATGACTTCAATTTCAGTCTTTTTCCTACACAAAGCTGCCATATCAAGACTTTTATATGTGACTCACAAATGGTACAAACCTTTTTATACCTTTATTATACTTTTATTGTGCTTTTGTGTCCTTTTTGAAGCTTGAAAGCTGTACTCCCTATTAATTGTAACTGCATACAAAAGAGTGAAACATTATTCAAAATCCTCTTTGTGTTTCGTATATGAAAGAAAGTCATACAAGTTTTGAATGGCATGAGGGTGAGTAAATGATGGCACAATTTTCGTTTCTGGGCCTGAATGGTCAGAATTTCTTGTTTCCCATAAGGCTAAGCTCTGCCCAAAAGGCCTCTGTCTGTACTCGTATCTCGGGTCCAGCTCTGTATTCTGGATTGCTGTTTTTATGTAACAGACTGTCGTATCTATTGCGCTCCCCTCTGCCGAGGCTGTGAAAGCATGGAAACATGTTGCAACTGATAAAGAAATGCCTTTATCACACATGCTGATAAAGGAGAATACAGCAGCCATGAGAATGTGATTTATCGGCCTGTATTAGACTGTCACGACGAGGCGCACTTGGGCGGCTGCTGGGTAGCATGCTGCAGCTGCTTTTAATAAGACGGCCGAGCGTGGTCTCTGAGGTTGACTGAGTGCAGATCCTGAGCAGAGGTGAGGTCACTTTATTAATGTGCAATAAACAGGTTGGTAGAAGAGAGAGACGAGAGATGTATGCATGAGGACCTCTCTCCATTAACACTAAATCAGGTGCTGTTATTACCCCAGCACTAATTGAATGTGATAGCAGTTGCTCTAAAGCGATCCCCCAGGTGTAATTGTCATCGGCCATGCTCCCTCCGTCCCAGTTGGAACCACATTTTGTTTTACTGATTAACTGGGCTCTCAGTAATCATAGCAAGATATTTGAGAACTAGGGATGTCAATTTAACACGTTAACTGTGATTAAAACACACACACACACTAAAACCTTTAATCACACTCTGACCCATATATAAATTGTGTAATATGGAAATAAATAATATTAGAACAATTTTATATCTTCAATTATATCTTCGATTCAATAATTGAATTACATATTGCAATTAATATCATGAATTAACAAAATTAAAAATAAAATATATATATATAATGTATAAAGTTTAAGACATATAATTGTTTCATATTAATAATGATTTTATTAATTTTATTAATGATTTAATTATTTAGTAATTTATTCATATATTAAATTTATTGATATATAAATGTGATATCTAATATATATTTTATATGAATTTAATATAAATAAATGAAAAATATAATGTAATATAATTTAATATTTAATACAATTAATATTAATATATACATATAATATATAACAACATTTTATATATACTTATTTTTATAATCTCTCTCTCTCTATATATATATATATATATATATATATTAGACTTGTGCCGGTATTCGGTAATGCGATATATCACGGTATTGTTATCGTGGGCTCTTCTAAATACTGTGAATAATTATATATTACAAGTTATTCAGAATTTTGAATACATTTAAGAATACTTTTCCCATCAACTGTTTAAAATGCACAACACCGCTGTATGCTGTGTGAAAGACGCATGCGCACAGAAATATATATTATTACAAAATTTGTAATTAATTATATATAATATTTGTATATAATATATTTAATGAAATTATATTTATTCTGCATATAATTAATAGTAAAATTAACTGTATGATTTAACAACTAATTGCAAATTAAGAATAATATATCACAAGGTGCTTTGTAGCTTAATTAGAGGGCTTTCTCATTAAATATTGATGTGTGGTTAATTAAATGCAATGTCATGTCAAGGGGGCTGTAACTGTGTCCGAAGGCTCAACATCAGTTGAAATGGAAGACGTTATAAGATGCTCTACTGTGACTGCATGTAAGCAGAGCAGTGTTGCTTCCATCTGTACGATGGAAGGATGCTTTAGCCCAGACTTTGCAGAGAGATTTTAATAAAGCGGACAGGCGGCCGGGCAGCTGAGGCTGATCCTAGTGAGCGATGGTGTGAATCTGTAGCCTGAATCTGAATCCGTTGACGTCACACTTCCTTTTCAGCAGATGAGTCCTGCACCAACTGCTCATTTGGCGCGATCTGCGATGCTCAGACTGGCCGGTGTGTGTGCCCCAAAGGGTGTTTGGAAACACGGCAGCCCGTGTGCGGCAGTGACGGCATGACGTACGAGAACGAGTGCAAGCTGAACGTGGAAGCCTGCACTAAGCAGCTGGATCTCAGAGTGGTGGCCCATGGAGAATGCAGTGAGTACAGAAAAACGACAGTCAATTCATCCATCACCTTCATACATGTTCACTCATCAGTCTGCGTTTGCTGCAAAAAAATCATTTTCTGTAGTATTTTTGTTTTGATTTCCAGGAAAAGTTTCTTTAGAACAAGATACATTTTCTTAATTTACAATATTGTGTCAGATATTACTTTTTTCCTAATGTATCTTGAATTAAGTTTATCTGTTTTGTTTATGCATAAATCCCATGTTTTTTAGATTTATGCTTCAAGCAAGAAGAAATAATTTAGTAAGAAAAATAAACTTAATTCAAGAAAAACTTTTAATATTTTGTGCACTTTTCAAGCAAATTGTATTTTGTTTTGTGTTTTTAAATTGTTGAATTATGTGGTACTAAAAAACAAGACAAAATACTGATTAAGAAAATGTTTTGCAGTGCAGTTTTCTTGTCAAAACACAAGAAACTGTTTTAGCACTCTTTCCAAATCATGTTATGCATGGTACATGATTTTTTACATGGTGGTTTTTATGTAGTAGAATCCCATGTGAATGCTTTTGGAGTTTCAAGAGGACGTTTATTGAGGTGTGAACATGTTTCTTGCACCTCTTTGTGTCTCAACTATCCAATGCTGTGATGCGTGTGTTGCCTGTGTGTGATCAGAAACCTGTGGCAGCACTGTGTGTAGATGGGGAGCACGGTGCGTGCAGAACCAGTGTGAGTGTCAGCAGTGCACGGGTCAGCCGGTGAAACCCGTGTGTGGCAGCGACGGCACCACCTACGACAACGACTGTGAGCTGCGGCTGGCCTCCTGCAAGAAACAGAGGAAGATTGAGGTGACCAAACCTGGCGTCTGTGATGAAGGTGGGTTTATGTGTTCATGTATGTGATAAGATAAGTGAGGAGCTGAACTCCCTGTTATTTGCTGATTTTCATAGTTGGTCTCAGGGCTAGCCGAGTTAATGGATTCACTCCAAACAGTTTATCCTGGCCAATTTAACCTCCTTTCATCGACTGCACTTAGTGACCCATCATATTTACATTTACATTTAGTCATTTAGCAGATGCTTTTATCCAAAGCGACTTACAAATGAGGACAATGGAAGCTATCAAAATCAACAAGAGAGCAATGATATGCAAGTGCTATAACAAGTCTCAGTTAGCTTAACACAGTACACGTAGCAAGTTTTTTTTTTATTACATAATAAATAAAAAGAAAAACTGCAGAGCCAGTGGTGGTTTTGTAGGCAAACATTAATCCCTTGAATTTTATGCGAGCAGCTATTGGTAGCCAGTGCAAATTGATAAACAGATATGATTAAAAAAAAGAGAGAGCATTGCAATAGTCCAGCCTGGACAGAATAAGAGCTTGAACAAGGAGTTGTGACGCATGTTCCGATAGAAAGGGCCTAATCTTCTTGATGTTGAATAAAGCAAATCTGCAAGACCGGACAGTTTTAGCAATGTGGTCTGAGAAATTCAGCTGATCATCAATCATAACTCCAAGGTTTCTGGCTATTTTTGAAGGAGTTATGGTTGATGTGCCTAACTGGATGGTGAAATTGTGATGAAAGTATATTTGAAGCATGAAATGCAGGCATCACTATGCGGCTTGTGTTCTCTGTCTTTTCGCCATAGGTCCCTGTTGTGTCAGTGTTTGAGATTCAGTTTTATTCTTATTTTGATGCAGTTATAGACGGTACCTTGCTTTCTACTTTAATTATTTCATTAATATTTAATAGCACACATGTAATATCTACAATATATGCACAATAAAACATATGTGTGTGTGTGTGTGTGTGTGTGTGTGTGTGTGTGTGTGTGTGTGT